TTTTTTTTTTTTTTTTAAATGCATTGCTGCCTCTGGTGATGTTTCAGTGATTTTTGTTTTGTAAGTGGGTGGGATCTTCATGTTTTCTCTGAAAATGGGTTTGGATTTGAGAGAAATCAAGGTATATTCTGGGATATTGAAAGTGTGATTTTTTAGGGTGGAAATCTGAATTGGGTGTTACAGTAAAAAGTTGGGTTGGTGGCAAAATAAAGGGACTGAAGATGGATTTCTTCAAAGTTAAGAAGCTCAGGAAAGCTCGCAAATCAGACCCAGAAAAGGATTCGGAGGATAACCCTGTACCGCAACAGCAAGAATCAGTGCATGAGAATGCTGCTGTTGGTGGTGGTGGGGATGGTGTTAATGACTTGAGTAAATCAACTAAAACTGAACCTGCAGTTGATATTGAGGATGATGATGATGATTTTATAACGAATGAGGTGAAGAGGAGGTTGAAAGAACTGAGGAGGAACAGTTTTATGGTGTTGATTCCTGAAGAAGATGAGTACTGTCCTGAAGATGATGACGAGGTGGAGACTGGTGAGACTAGCTCTAGCGAGTGGAGGGAGGTTGAAGTCCAAGGCAGGCAATTGTGGGGTGGGTTTGATGCTGTGTATGACAAGTATTGTGAGCGTATGCTATTCTTTGATCGGATGAGTGCGCAGCAGCAGCTCAAAGAAACTGGTAAATGTTTCTGCATTTCTGATTATCTCTCTAAATTTGTAGAATTTTATGTATTTTTTATGTTGTGATAGCTTATCCTACATTGGAGGTTTGTTGGTCTTAAGTTCAGTAGTAAAATGCAGGTAAGATAATTCTTTCTTTTGCTATCTAAAGACCTTAGCACATTAAGCCATTTAGGATGCCCGAATGTATGAAAGCGAGCTGCCATGGTTTGTGTTTTTCCTTTTTTTCTGACTTTTACTTGATAACCTTGATGTTAACCAGAAAGGATTTATCTGGACGGTCATGAACATTTATCGTATTTTGCTATTGAAGGGATCTCACTTTGACTTCTTCTAATCATAATGAAAAGATTATTCCTTAAACTTGTTCGTGACTACTGGGAGAAGAATCTTATCTCCCTTGTTTATTTCTGAATGTCTGATTAAGTAGAAGAATCTTTTCTCCCTTTGTTAAGTAATAGTTATTTCTAGCAGTTCTTCAGTTAGTTCTACATATTCCTCAAACTAGAAGATGGCTTCTTTTGTTCAACCTGCAATTTTGTGCTCTGAAATTCAATGAAAGTCTACTTGTTGGCTATTGCATTAAGTTACCTGGTTCTTATCTTGACACCTCGGCCAAGCACATACTTCTTCTTGGTGAGGTGGGAGAAAGAAATAGTTTGTTAAAACTTTTGCTGTTTTGTCTTACTTTAGCTTTCTAGTTATCTCTTTAGTCTTTACACCTTGAATTTGCATCAAATCACAAATAAATGTTTGATTGCCTTTTAGGCCACCAAAATCCTTCCACTCCATCACCAAGATCTTCATCTAAAAAGCTTAGGTCCCCCCTATGTTGCCTTTCTTTGAAGAAGATTGAAGAACCTGATGAGGAAACTGAGAAGCTGCGGCAGTCTATCCATGATTCTTGTCAGGATCTTGAAACAGCATATGTGGCTCAAATTTGCTTAACTTGGGAGGCACTACATTGTCAGTACACTCAACTCAGCCAGATAATCTTGTGCCAACCTGAGAATCCCACCTGTTACAGCCACAGTGCTCAACAGTTCCAGCAGTTCCAGGTTTTATTGCAAAGGTTTATCGAAAATGAACCCTTTGAGGAAGGTATCAGACCTGAAATTTATGCTCGTGCCAGGAATCTTTTGCCTAAGCTGCTTCAGGCTCCTAATATACAAGGTAGATTTTTATGATTGATGGAGTGATGAAAAAGTATAAAAGCTGGACACTGTGATGGGAGAATTTTATTTTATTTTATTTTTTCAGGTTCAGATCAGAAAGAAAACGTAGAAGAAGAATCAGATTCGTTGGTTCTTGCTCCTGATCTTATTGAAGAGATTAAGATATCTATTCTCACATTCCACCTTTTCCTAAAGATGGACAAGAAAAAAACTACTGTTCTTAACTTGTTTGGGAATCAGAATGTGATGGCGACCCCTCTTCAACAGATTCAATCTTCACTTGAGAAGGTAAGACTGCACAATTCTAAACATTTTGAAGTTTTATTGTGTCACATATCATTATATCTTTTGTTTGAAGCATATGATGGTTTTTATACAGATTAGGTTTGTTAAATTATATACTTTGATGGTTTCACCTGAATGCTTTTTCCTTGTCTGGATACCAACTTATTTGCTTACGTTTGAAACTTATGATAAGATGTGCTGCAAAGTTTGCTTTTGTGAACTGCAGAAAGGGATAAAGCTGAAGGAACTGCGCAAGAAGAGAAAAGGATGGAAAAAGGAATCCTGGCCCCAATCACATGATGATGTTCAGTTGTTGCTTAGCCTCATTGATATCAAGGTTATATCAAGGGTTCTTAGAATGATGAGGATCAGTAAAGAGCAGTTGTTTTGGTGTGAAGAAAAGATGAAAAAGGTAGATTTTTGTGATGGAAAGTTGCAGAGAGACCCCTCTCCTATCCTTTTCCCCTGTTGATAGGCATGAGGAAAGATTAAGGAATTCGGTTTATTGGACTGTTAGCTGCAAAGAGACACTTCCCTTTTATCTTCAAAATTGAGTCTTCCAAGGGTCTCATGGTGGATGATATAAGCGCATATTTTTGCTTATGGATTATAAGGTTTGGCATTCCATGGCATTTTGGCCAAATATCAACATCATCCTGACAAATCTTAGAAGGAACAAAGAGAGAAGGGCCTTTTTGTAGTGTTTTTCCTGCAAGTTCACTAAACCAGGAATGGACTAGACTTTGGTAGATTGATAGTCGCAGCTTTTTGTGAAATCTTTGTTTGTCTATTACATCCATGTAATACTCTGATATTTCATGGCGCAGCATATTGATTACTTGCAGACTGTTTGTTAGCATTTAGTGCCAGATAGGGCTATAAACTAGCTGATACAAGCCGAAATCTTGCAAGTTTGAGCTTCTCTGAGTAAATTTACCCAAGTTTGAACTCTGGAGCTTGGCTTGATTAAACTTTACTAGTATTAACTTTCTACTCTACCTTAATTATGAATTGGCAAATGGTCGAGTAATCTGAAGGTTCAGCACACGTTTACAACTTCAACTTCCAAATTTTTAAGGGTGTGCTTTGGATCAACACCTGTTTCCCTAAAATTACCTTCCGACCACAAATCTCAAGACATCATTTTAATTGGTTTGGTCATGTTGGGCATCTTTCTGGTTATTGTGAGTATTTTTGTGGACAATTAGTTATATTTATAATCTGTTAATTTAAGGGAAAGGGATGTAGCTAAGTAATTTCTATTTCAATCTATCTAATTCATTTCGTTAGAAGTTGTACAAA